TGATACATGTGATATATATGTGTGATATATGTGTGTGATGTGTGTGATATATGTGTGTGATACATGTGTGTGATGTGTGTGTGATACATGTGATATACATGTGTGATATATGTGTGATATATGTGTGATACATGTGTGTGATGTGTGTGTGATACATGTGATACATGTGATATACATGTGATACATGTGATATATATGTGTGATATATGTGTGTGATGTGTGTGATATATGTGTGTGATACATGTGTGTGATGTGTGTGTGATACATGTGATATGTGTGTGTGATATATGTGTGATACATGTGATATATATGTGTGATATATGTGTGTGATGTGTGTGTGATACATGTGATATATATGTGTGATATGTGTGTGATGTGTGTGTGATACATGTGATACGTGTGATATATGTGTGTGATGTGTGTGTGATACATGTGATATATATGTGTGATATATGTGTGTGATGTGTGTGATACATGTGATACATGTGTGATATATGTGATACATGTGATATGTGTGTGTGATACATGTGATATATATGTGTGATATATGTGTGATATATGTGTGTGATGTGTGTGATACATGTGATACATGTGATATATGTGTGTGATGTGTGTGTGATATATGTATGTGATACATGTGTGTGTGATGTGTGTGTGACGTGTGTGTGATATATGCATGTGTGATATGTGTGTGTGACAGGTGCATGTGATATATGTGATACATGTGTGATGCATGTGATATGTGTGTGATGTGTGATAAGCGTGTGTATGATGTGTGTGTTACACTTGTGTGATATGTGTGATGTGTGTGATGTGTGTGTGATATATGTGTGTGATGTGTGTGTGATGTGTGTGTGATACACGTGTGTGATGTGTGTGTGATACATGTGATACATGTGATATGTGTGTGTGATACATGTGTGATATATGTGTGTGATATATGTGTGTGATGTGTGTGTGATACATGTGTGATACATGTGATACATGTGATATGTGTGTGTGATACATGTGTGATATGTGTGTGTGATACATGTGTGATATATGTGTGATATATGTGTGATACATGTGTGTGATGTGTGTGTGATACATGTGATACATGTGATACATGTGATATACATGTGATACATGTGATATATATGTGTGATATATGTGTGTGATGTGTGTGATATATGTGTGTGATACATGTGTGTGATGTGTGTGTGATACATGTGATATGTGTGTGTGATATATGTGTGATACATGTGATATATATGTGTGATATATGTGTGTGATGTGTGTGTGATACATGTCATACATGTGATTTATATGTGTGATATATGTGTGTGATACATGTCATACATGTGATATATATGTGTGATATATGTGTGTGATGTGTGTGATACATGTGATACGTGTGATATATGTGTGTGTGATACATGTGTGATACATGTGATATATGTGTGTGATACATGTGATATATATGTGTGATATATGTGTGTGATGTGTGTGTGATACATGTGATATATATGTGTGATATATGTGATATATATGTGTGTGATACATGTGATACATGTGATACATGTGATATATGTGATATATATGTGTGATATATGTGTGTGATGTGTGTGTGATACATGTGATACATGTGATATATGTGTGTGTGATACATGTGTGATACATGTGATATATGTGTGTGATACATGTGTGTGATACATGTGATATATGTGTGTGATGTGTGTGATACATGTGATACGTGTGATATATGTGTGTGTGACGTGTGTGATATATGTATGTGATACATGTGTGTGTGATGTGTGTGTGACATGTGTGTGATATATGCATGTGTGATATGTGTGTGTGACAGGTGTGTGTGATATATGTGATACATGTGTGATGCATGTGATATGTGTGTGATGTGTGATAAGCGTGTGTATGATGTGTGTGTTACACTTGTGTGATATGTGTGATGTGTGTGATGTGTGTGTGATATATGTGTGATATGTGTGTGATACGTGTGTGTGATATATGTGTAGTACATGTGATATGTGTGATATGTGTGTGTGATACCTGTGTGATACCTGTGATGTGTGATACCTGTGTGATACGTATGATACACATGTGACATGTGTGATACGTGTGTGTGATATACCTGTGATGTGTGATACACGTGTAGTACATGTGATATATCTGTGATATGTGTGCGAAATGTGTGGTATTTGTGTGATACATGTGTGGTATGTGTGATATTTGTGTGTGATACCTGTGATGTGTGATACGTGTGTGTGTGATTTTTGTACGTGTTATTTTCGTGTGATTTTTGTGTGTGTGATGTGTGCACACACATGATGAGTGTGTTCAAGCATCTCTGATCCGTGTTTCTGAGTGTGAATTGTGTGTGTGCAATCATGTGTGGTGTTAGCACACGTGGAGTGTGTGTGTGCGTTCCTGGGGTGCTTGTGGCACCCGTGTCGTGTTTGTGCAAGGCCATGCTGTGTGTTCAGGTGTGTGCAAGGACATGCTGTGTGTTCAGGTGTGAGTGCAGGTGTGTGCAAGGACATGATGTGTGTTCAGGTGTGAGCTATGTGTGTGCAAGGCCATGCTGTGTGTTCAGGTGTGAGCAAGGACATGCTGTGTGTTCAGGTGTGTGCTAGGACATGCTGTGTGTTCAGGTGTGAGTGCAGGTGTGTGTGCAAGGACATGCTGTGTGTTCAGGTGTGAGCTGTGTGTGTGCAAGGACATGGTGTGTGTTCAGGTGTGAGCTGTGCAGGTGTGTGCAAGGACATGCTGTGTGTTCAGGTGTGTGCAAGGACATGCTGTGTGTTCAGGTGTGAGCTGTGCAGGTGTTCAAGGATGATTTGTGCATCTTCAAGCCTGCATGGTGTGTGTACACATGTGTGTGCAAGCATGATTTGTGTGTGCAGGTGTGCAGGATGTGTATGCAAGCATGATGTGTGTGTGTGCAGGTGTGCAGGGTGTGTGTGTGTGCAGGGTGTGTGTGTGTGCAGGGTGTGTGTGTGTGCAGGTGCGCAGGGTGTGTGTGTATGATTTGTGTGTGTGCAGGTGTGCAGGGTGTGTGCAGGATGTGGGAGTGCAGGTGTTCAGGGGGTGTGTGTGTGCAGGATGTGTGTGTGCAGGTGTGCAAGATGTGTGTGTGTGTGTATGATGTGTGTGTGTGCAGGTGTGCAGGGTGTGTGTGTGTTCAGGGTGTGTGTGTGCAGGATGTGTGTGTATGATTCGTGTGTGTGCAGGTGTGCAGGCTGTGGGTGTGTGTGCAGGTGTGCAGGATGTGTGTGTGCAGGTGTTCAGGATGTGTGTGTGTATGATTTGTGTGTGTGCAGGTGTTCAGGATGTGGGAGTGTGGGTGTGCCATCTTGGGGTGGGTAGGGACTGAGCCGCCCTGGGCTGGGCACTCCAGACCTGGGTAGGGCACCCCAAACCCCAGGCCAAGGATCCCAAACCCTGGACAGGACACCCCAAACCATGGGCTGAGCATCCCAAACCCTGGACAGGACACCCCAAACCATGGGCTGAGCATCCCAAACCCTGGTAGGGCACCCCAAACCATGGGCTGAGCATCCCAAACCCTGGTAGAGCACCCCAAACCATGGGCTGAGCATCCCAAACCCTGGTAGAGCACCCCAAACCATGGGCTGAGCATCCCAAACCCTGGTAGGGCACCCCAAACCACAGCTGGGCATCCCAAACCCTGGATAGGACACTCCAAGCCCCAGCCTGAGCACTCCAAGCCCAGATCAAGGCACCCAAGACCCTCCATAACCTCCTGCCCCAAACCAGCAGCTGCCCTTTGCTGCCCAGTTCCTTCCAGTCTCTAACTGGGCACAGACCGAGGTGGCAGCTGTGACGTGCTGAGAACCATTTGGAGCTGAACCCCCTGAACAGCCATGTTATCCCACAGCAGCTCTGCTTCCATCCCGGGGCTGTGGCCATGCAGACCCCTCAGGACAGGAGGGCTGGTGGCCGTGGGCCCCTGGAGCAGCCACGAGAGGGTTGGCACGAGGCTGGAGCCGGGTTTATTACGGGATCCAACGGTTCTGCTGGAGATGTGGAGGTGAAGCCATAAATTGAGGCAATTTAAAGGCAGAAATTGGGCCCAGGCCCATCCTGCCGTGGTGCCCAGTGCCCAGCATGGGAAGTTCGGCAGCTCTTAGGTGATAAAATAGCTTTACACTTTATTAAATATATTAAATCTTAATAATTAAATAGTTATGTGGCAAAGCTGGTTCTGCTGAACGTCCCATCCTGGTCATGTCCAAACATCTCCAAGCATGGGGTGGATTTTGGGATGGCAGGGAGCAATGCAGGATAAAGCCGGCCGAGCCAAAACACCTCGGAAAACACCAAAATTTTGGCAAAGAGCCAGAAGGACAGTTCTTTGGCAAGGGGGATGCTGGCTGCTTGGCGAGGAAGGATCACCACGGGACCCCCATCCGGCACGTGGAACGCTCAGGCCACGCTGGACACCGGCAGCTCTTCATTTTTGGGATCCCCACAATCCGGGGTGCGGATGTGGCCCGACCAGGGGGATGCTGCCCTTGGACCATCCTTTCGCAGCGAAACCTCTCCCTCCTTCAGCCAGGGCTGCTCGGGGCACCGCAGCTCTGCCCAGGAGTTTTCAGGGCGACACCGGGCAGCTCGGTGGCGATGGAGCCGGAGCTGGGTGGGTGCCCCGGGGGGGGCACAGGGGGGGCTCTGCCATCGCTGCCCCTCGCCCTGGCACCAGCCCGGGCACTCGGGGTGGGCGAGCAGCTGCTGCCATCCCCGGCGGCACAGCGAGACGCGCCGGTGTCGGGTGACGGATCCAGGGGATATTTTTATGGCCGGGTGGAAGATTCCTCCTTTGCTATTTGTTTTTTTTTTTTTTCCTATTTTTTCCGTGCTTGCAAATTCAACCGGCTCGAAGGTGGGCGAGGCAGGAGCTGCGAGCAAATCCCCTCTGTGACCGGAGCCATCCCGTCCCCGGTGCAGCCCCGTCAGTGGCTCCGGTGTCCGGTTCCCGGCTCTCACTGCTCCGCTTTTGGCTTCTCTGCCGAATTGTTCAGCTTCTTCAAGGTCTTTTTGATGCGCAGGGCGGTGAGACGGGCCGTGGGGCTCTGGTACCAGCACTCCTTCATGATCTTCGCCAGTGCCGACAGCACCTGGGGAGGCACAAGAAGAGGGATAAATGGAAGGGTTTATCCGGTTTGGGCTGGGCCGGTCCCCCCGGCACTCACCGGGTCGGAGAAGAGGCGGTTTGGGATCACGGGGGTCTGCTGGTCCACACACACCACCTTCTTCATGTCCTCGAAGCTGGGGTCGCTGGGCACGGCGTCAAAGAAGGGCGGCCGATATTCCTCCACGATACCTGCGGGAGGGGATGGCGTGAGGACGGGGGACAGCCAGGGGGTCACCCCCATCCTGCCCATCACGGGCGGCCTGGAGCTTCCCGGCACGGCCCAGCTGCTCCCTGCCTTGGGAGGCTCATGGGGAGCGGCCGGTGGGATGCTCCTCACCCGGGCACGGTGGGATGTTCCACACCGGGGCACGGTGGGATGTTCCTCACCCGGGCACGGTGGGATGTTCCTCACCGGAGCACGGTGGGATGTTCCACACCCGGGCACGGTGGGATGTTCCTCACCCGGGCACGGTGGGATGTTCCTCACCGGGGCACGGTGGGATGTTCCTCACCCGGGCACGGTGGGATGTTCCTCACCCGGGCACGGTGGGATGTTCCTCACCCGGGCACGGTGGGATGTTCCTCACCCGGGCACGGTGGGATGTTCCACACCCGGGCACGGTGGCAGCTGGTGCTGGTTCTGGTACCGCTGGTTCTGGTACCGCTGGTGGTTCCAGCTCCAGCTCCAGCCCCACCACGAGCATCAGCTCCAGCACCAGCTCCAGGCAGCCCTTGGCTCTGTGGCCACCTCCACTCAGCACCTGGTGGTCACCCTGCCAGCTGGCCCAGCTAATCTCTGCTTAATGCTGGCATATGTCTGCGTCTAACTGGGATTTAATGACTCTGGGAAGCCTCGAGCCCCCAGCAGCTCCCTGCACGCCAAGGGGTGACCCCAAACCCTCAGGGTCCCCTGGAGTTTCCCCTCCCCAATCCCCTGAAGCTGTCCTGGAGAGTGAGGGCTCCTGGAAGGGTTAAACCCAGCTGTCTGAAGGTCATTCCTGCGCGAGGCTGGGGTAATTCGGAGTCAATGTGGAATCTGAGGGAGCCCTGGGGCCGTAAATGGGATTATCCCGGCCAGACTGCGCTTGGGGGGACCTCCCGCCCCGCCCGCCAGCACCCACCATTTAATTAACGCTTTTAATGGACTTTGCCGTGATGAGCAGCGCTGGCCGGGCAGCCTCAGTGAGGTTCATCCCCAAGGCGAGGGGACCCTGCCCCTTGTCCCTGTCCCGAGCTCCCGAGCTGGCGGCCGGAGGTCCCGGCCGTGGCCGCTTTCCAGGCAGCGCTCGGAGCCGCTTGTTTTCTAATCAGCGCTGAACAAACAAAGCTCTGATTGAGTCTAATGGGCCCTTTAATCACAGAGCCGGGTGCTGACACTAGATTACAGTGTTTATAATTTACAGCTAATCTTCTGGGCGAAGGAAAAGAGGAAAAAAAAATAAAAAATAAAAAGCAAAGCAAGAAGAAAAGGAGGGAAGGAGGGAGCGGAGCTGGCGGGGAGCCGGGAGCCGCTCACCGTTCACCACCGTCCGCCGGGTGATCTCCCACAGCACCAGCCCGAACGCCCAAATGTCCGTTTTCTTGTAGGACTCGAAGCAGTCGGTGCGGATCTGCTCGCTCAGCACCTCCGGGGCCATGTAGCGCTTGGTGCCCACCCGGGGGTTGTTGCCGATGTCCAGGTAATCGCTGCCCTGGGAGTGCATGACCGCCAGCCCTGCGGGGACAGGTCACAGAGAGCTTGGGATGACTTTGAAAGTCATTAATTCAACTATGAAATGCTGGGATATCGGCCCTGGTCAGTGTATATTTATATTTATATTTATATTTATATTTATATTTATATTTATATTTGTATTTATATTTATATTTATATTTATATCTATATTTATATTTATACTTATATCTATATCTAAATATTATATATAATATTATTTGCTATTGTTATATTATATTATAATATAAAAATATTATATTATATTATATTATATTATATTATATTATATTATATTATATTAGAAAAATAACATATTATATTAGAAAAATAATATATTATATTATATTATATTATATTATATTATATTATATTATATTATATTATAATAGAAAAATAATATATAATATATAATATATAATATATAATATATAATATATAATATATAATAATATTAACATTATTATTTACATAATTATAATATATAATAATATTAACAATAATAAAAATATTTATAATATATTTAATATATAGTATATAATTATAATAATATAATAATATAATAACAATTATAATAACTTAATTTTTAAAATAATTTTAATAACCGATATTAATAATAATTATATATATTATATTATTATATATAATATATAATTATATATATTATATAATTATAATGTAATACATAATGTTATTATATTTATTCTAATATTATTTCTATTATTAGAAATATAAATATAATATTTATATATATTTATATATAAATTTATAAATTTACAAAGCTGCATCCATGGGACTCAACATCCCAGAGGTATCAAAACCCCAGGACATCACATCCCTGTGGCACCATCACCCTGGGGCATCACATCCCGGGAATATTCCATCCCCAAGATGTCACATTCCTGGAGCATCACATCTGTGGGGTTCCCCAACCCTGGAGCAGCATCCTGGGGTGACACATCCCTGGGGTACCTCATCCCTGGGGTGACACAACCCTGGGGTACCTCATCCCTGGGGTGACACACCCCTGGGGTACCTCATCCCAGGGGTACCTTTTCCCTGGGGTACCTCATCCCTGGGGTACCTCATCTTGGGGTACCTCATCCCTGGGGTGACACACCCCGGGGGTACCTCATCCCGGGGGTACCTCATCCCGGGGGTGACAGATCCTGGGGGTACCTCATCCCTGGGGTACCTCATCCCTGGGGTGACACATCCCGGGGGTGCCTCATCCTGGGGGTACCTCATCCCAGGGGTACCTCATCCCGGGGGTACCTCATCCCCGGGGTACCTCATCCCTGGGGTGACACATCCCTGGGGTACCTCATCCCTGGGGTACCTCATCCCTGAGGTGACACATCCTGAGTGTACCTCATCCCGGGGGTGACACATCCTGGGTGTACCTCATCCCGGGGGTACCTCATCCCGGGGGTACCTCATCCCTGGGGTGACACATCCCTGGGGTACCTCATCGCTGGGGGTACCTCATCCCGGGGGTACCTCATCCCGGGGGTACCTCATCCCGGGGGTACCTCATCCCTGGGGTGACACATCCCTGGGGTACCTCATCCCGGGGGTACCTCATCCCTGGGGTGACACATCCCTGGGGTACCTCATCCCTGGGGTACCTCATCCCGGGGGTACCTCATCCCTGGGGTGACACATCCCTGGGGTACCTCATCCCGG